AGGTCCGTTATTCATTCCCCGACTCGTACGATACCAACGTGTACGAAGTACCACCTTGCCGGAAGTACGCGCTTTCAGTCGCCGAGCATTTGTTGTCATAAATTGTTAACCGCGTCATTACTCGCGCGGACGTCGTAAATAAAACAATGTTGCAGTTGTACAAATCAATTTCAGAATTTTCAATGGGCGTTTCGCAGGCACGGCACGTACGGAAGACCCCGCGAGATTAAGCAGCTCCCTCGCGAGAAATGTGTATTTCGTATTACGTATAAATTGATACGTCCACGTCGCACAGTCGCGTAATCAGTTCCCGCTCCTTAAACTACTCGCGCGTATGTACGCACGCACTCGCGCACGCACACCGGCTATCGCGCCGCGGATTTGCATAATGCGCGATGCGAGACGGGCGACTAAATCAACTGCACGTGCCGATGACGAGAAGCGTCCAAAATACCATGCTCAAATCGCTCTGTATGCAGATCTGTGTGCCGTCGAGCCGATTCTAAGCGGTCGCGTTGACGCGTACTCCTCTCTGAAAGTCGGTCGATCTGACTAGTTCCAATCTGATTAGTGAACGCGAACGGCGAGTAAAACCGGGACACGGCATCCACGACGCGAACTTCGCCCACGGTCTCCTTTGCCGGTCGGCTGTATGTAAGGAGTTTGTTCCCAGGTGAAGGTAATCATATTCCGCGTTCCACGATAATGGTGAACGAACGCAGCCTCCGGGCTGTAACGGAACCTCTGCCACCAGCCTGCACCCCGGCCTCTGTGCCGGACCCGTGGGTGCACCTCAGCTTAGCTGCACCTCTATACCCTCTCTAAGCCAAACTCCTATGTTGCCGCAATTATCGCACGACCGGCTGTTATCTCGGCACAAGCACCGTTCCCCTTCCCTACTCCTCTCGACGATCGTTATCGTTACCATCTTGTTCCTAAGCGCGGACAAGGCGGACTAGCCTCTGAACCTGACCTGACCTCGTGACCAGCCGCGATCAGGCTGGCACCGGCCAACGTACAACGTGAACGCTAATAACAATTAATTTGCTGCTATCCACAATTCAATGAATATACTCTGCCCGTCGGTGGCTGGAAACCGCACGTGAAAAAGGATCCCGTTGCGGTTGCAGGAGCTCGATAGCGATCGTTGCTGTTATTACCCGGCGCGATGGTTACCTCGGCGCGAACGAGTCGGACAGTATTACCCCTCGCGCGTTAATCACTCGCGGGATAATCACGACGCATTAATTAGCGCATTAATTAGAGCGGAGGCGTTTGCCTTACTTCGAGCGTTTAACGCACTGCTCGCTCCCGTTGTTGTTGCCGAGAATGGTATTACATGCTCTGAGCGTCCAACGTAATTTATCGTGAGCGTGAAAGTAAAATCGGACATGGCTCTCTTCGCCTCGACATTGTTGGCGATGCCGTTCGTTATCGTTGCCGGTTTTTTTCAAGTTGCTCGTGAATTATTGCCGGCCATACCATTCTCGTCGATTCGGAATGCTCACGCTGAGAAACCAGAGGGGATCGATGACTGTTGCAACTGGTTTGAACACAAATTATGTGACTGTGCTATCCGTTTGTGCTCGCTAAATGTATAAGTTTGTATAAGAAGAGAATGAAGAAAGCGCATTAGCTGTGTTACATATTTTCTTTAAATACGATTACTCAGTCGAGTAACGATTTCAATGTAGAGTTTTATAAAAATCATATCATTTACAATGGGCGATTCTTGTAGGAATTACCCCTAAATTAAATCGATGTACACTAGAAATCACCGATGCCTTTCCATATGAATTTGGGCACAGGTGAAACACATATACATTTTTCATGTATAAAATGTATAAATGTGTCGCTATATGTACACAAATTGATGTGGGAAGGCATCGGTGATTCCTAGTGAACAAATAAGTACGAGCTCCAGCATTTGAGATGATTTTTTTGGATTCATTGATGCAAGATATTAAAAATATTCAGAGCAAGAGAGAGAGAGAGAGACATCTCTTTAGATTTGGAATAACTCGCACGTAACCGCGACAAATTACAATCGGCAACTCGGAGAGGAGCGGATCCCGTTACGAGAGCGGGCACTCGAGCCACGAGTTAAGAGGATTCGGAGAGCCAGTGGTCGCCAGCGCGCGTGCGTACGTAGCATCGGTGGCCGTTAGCGCGTGCTGCAACCGGAAGACGTCATCGCCGGCAATTACGACCGGAACGAACGCAAATTTATCGGCGACAAACATGCGCCGCGTGCAGGCTAGACGTCGCCGTGCCGCCTGCAACGATGCACTTGGATGCGCGCTGCGTCTTCTAAACGCGCGCACCCCGAAGACACGGTGCCTTCCGTCGCGGCGCGGCCGTACCGAGAGCGCAAGTGGAATTAGTCTCGGTTCGACGGACGCGCCTACTGCTCGTTTCTGGACGAGCAAGATGGAAAGTAACGAATCAGGGTGAATCGACGAGAATGCCGATCGTGCCGATCGAGGAAAGAGAGAGAGAGAGAGAGAGAAAGAGGGAGACGAGGACGGCCGGTGCCGGAATGGAGCCGGGCCGATATTTCCATTCACAGCGCATCACCGTACGGGTGTGTCATTTCTGGGTTGCGAACGCGACCCGCACGCACCCACCGAACGTGAGATACGGGAGAAATGCGGTCTTATCGGGAGAGTCGGTTCTCGGAAGAGCGGACGACGTGAAAATTAAGAGAGACTAATGACTCGCTCTGAGGACATAATTAAATCCCTTTCCTTAATATCCCCGGAGATTTTATTGATTAAAATGCTATCTGTGAAAGATCAGAATTGACATTTATATCTCGAGGATAGAATTGGACAACTTTAAATCTGTAGGCATGCATATTGCATATGAGGTGAAATAAGAATCTAGACCACGCAAAGTTAGATGCTGTATAAATGTTTGGCGGATTACCGCCAGTAAGATAGCTGCAACAGCAGCTCCGAATATTTCGCTTGTAAAGTTCGCGGAAGAAATTGGTATTTCTACAATGCTCACGCGATCCGACCCTGGCCAGCGCTCGGGCTTGAAGCTATAAAGGTGCGTGCGCGTATTAGCGGTATGCGCTCGTACCCATTCACCGAATTCCCCTGTTCAATGGGCTGTACCGTGAATACGCAATGACGTAAGGGTCCCCGTTGCTTCGCCAGATAGTCTCAACGCACCACGGAGCGCGGACTCCGATGTGCGTGTCGTGGCGCGGCTCATAGCGCAGAAATATATCTCGCGGACTAATCCATTGGTGTGAGATTCATTACGATCGGCCGGGATGTAATTTACTGCGCGGCTAGTATGAAATGGACGTTAACGAGCGAGCGCGAGTTTAGGTGTCGCGACTCGCATTGCTCCTTCTACTTTTCCTTCTCCTTCTCTTCTCTTCCTCCTTCTCCGGACTACAATGAGCTGCCGGTGGATGTTGCCGGGGGAAGAGTGGCAGAGGAGGAAATATACGTAGGGGAAAAGATGAAGTCGACAGGTAGAAGAGAAACTACCTACGCGCTCTCGCGCGCGCTTCTCTCTTTCATCTCGGTACCGCTTTGTATTAGGCCGCTGTCGCACGGTTGGTATGCGCCGCCGCCGGCTTCGCCAAAGTCTTTCTTTTCTTCCTGGAGATTCTTCTTATTTTTCCTCCCCTCCTCCCCCTCCTCCTCCTCCTCCTCCTCCTCCTCCTCCTCCTCTTCCGTCTTTATCGCGTTTACTAGCTAAGTCAGCGGTCCTAAGTAATTTCTTTCGGTCAAGAACGCAGATACGATCATCATCTCTTCCCTCTCCACCCTCCATATCAGGACGGAGGAATGCAAACGCGCTGACATTCAATTTTGTAGCGCCCACTTGAAAATTGAAATTTTATTGTGAAATTTTTTCGCTCACGCTTTTTCGCGCGCCTATTCCCTTATCGGGCACAAGCCGCGATCCGTACCACCATCCCGCTGGTCAGCGCGGCACGAACGAAGGAGGTTGAGCACACAGCGGGCTCGTGCAAACACGCGTGCTCATTCCCACGCACCCACGCCTCTCATAGCCGCCTCACGCTCCAGGTAGACAGACGAATCGCATTTAGCCTCCCGCCGCGACGCGAATGCGTCAAATGTTTTCTCGCGTCGCGAATTTCGCGTCTTGACACCGTGATACATTGTATACCTTGAGGCTAATTCTACCAACGCCGATTAACTCTCTTCACAGCGTTTAACCGATTAACTCTGCTCTTTTTCTCGAGGCTGACTGTTTTCCTGACACTGATATAGCGATAGGTACACACAGATGTGGCGATAGATAATTATTAATACATTGTTTTACGCTTCATGTAGCTTTATTACATGTTCATTTGCATAATTAATACCTAGTCAATTATGTATACTTAGTCGCGCGTATGAGATCGAGCTGTGTGCGGTACACAGGCTCGCGAGAAGCGATCGGTCAAAGTGCAGAGGTGCGTCTGGCTCGATTCCAGACGCGACCACTGTGTCCGTCCAGCTGTCATTCTGTCAGATCAGGGCGAGAGTTACATGGTAGAATACCACGTGACAAGATAGATATGCATTTAAGCCGCCTCGCGATAGAATAGATAAGCGTACAATGGCTCGTTATACTTTCGCGCGTACGCAGATAATAACGCGACAAAAATTCTCAAAGCCGTCTGAGCAGGTTTGAATCCAAGCCGAGTGCATTCGTGATGTAATGCAAAATGATATGAGGCGCCACCCATTGTTTACGGTCGGGTATTTTAATATTATTCATCATTGGCAATCGATGACTAGTGAATAATCGGTGGTGTGAACAAGTAAACTTTAATTACATTTGAATGAAGACGGATAGGCTACTTTGTATTGTGTAAGTGACAAATATGACTTAAATGTTTACGCAGAGATGTAAAATTAGCCTGTAAACTAGCCCGGTCACTCATTTCATATGTGGTACGCACCAAAGCTTGGTTTAAGTTCGCATGGCTAATATAAGCTAACGAAATCGTCATTTACGTGTTGCAGGGTACGGAAGAAGAGTGCCGACATGTCGGCGTTGAACACCGCGCTTTATAGACGCGGGATAATCCTCTGGCTGGCCGCCGTCCTACTGCTGGCGTCACGATCCACGCATTCTGGTAAGTTTTTGCAGAAATGCCTCGGTGTACTTCTAGCTCCCTTTCTTTCGTCTGGCTTCAACGCCTTGGACACGCTTGAGCCGCTGTACAAAACGTGAGTCATTTATTTGATAGAGAGACCGTGAACGCGCGGACTCCCACGAGGAAATAAGAGGTAGACGGGCAAGAAATATTTTCGCTCGCCCGAGAAGACGCGATCGGATTATTTCTGCCTGTGGCTTGCTCGAAGTCAGATTGTATTCCACCGGATCGCCCATAAGTGCCATCCATAAATGTAGCAAAATAGGCTGCAGTTGTAAAAAAAAGTTTTTGTTTCCACGTTGATGTTGTGTTTACCCTTTTTACACTTTGCGGAATACTGACAAGAAGTTGAATTTTGCGGTAATAGGGAGCAAAGAGAGAGAGAGAGAGAGAGTAAAAGTAATCTCGGATGAAGATGAGAAAAGTCTTTCGTAACTCGAGCATGTTTTATTGCGCTTATAATGGAAACTAGTTTTTCGAAAGGCAAAAAAAAGAGTGATTCCATTAAAGTACGCATCTCGTGATAAAGTCGAGCCGCGCTATTTGGCGAGATTAGAATAGAAATGCGACAGAAGGGAGACTTAAATCGAGCGTGAATGTAAGTGTATGTCGTGCATTGAAATTAATTTCTGGAAACCAGAGTCGCGAGAGACGAGACGATCACTTCCGCGATCTTTCTTGCACCGTCTGGTGTGACTAACGCAGAGTCGGCCAGCCAATGTTTGAATGAGCGAGCCACGTTCTGTCAGGCCGTCGAACCTATCCGTGTGTCTCCCTTCTTCCCTGGCGATGGGGAGAGCATTACCTCATAATGCTCACCTCTGGCATCGGTCGTGTCGAGGCCCAAGGTGCTTTCCCATGGACCCGGCACACCATATTCGTTCTTCGACCACTCTCGGGTCGCCTTCAGGCGGTCGGTCGCCTCCTTCCTATCGTGAGCCCCGTTCCGCGAAGTTCCGCGAACTTCTTTCCCTTTACGTCGAGCTGGTTTGAAACGGTACGCCTAGACCTCTCTCGAGTCTTGGTATCGATATCAGAAGAAGACGATCCAGTTAAAACGGGGCCTCCAATTGTCATCGCGCGTGTCATGAATTATTTCCGGGAAGAGAAAAACGGCGATGGATTCAGTAGCCGCAGTAATCGACCGCAAATTCGTAAAGCGCGCCTCGGTGTCGGTAAAAGAAAAAGAAGGATTCGTCATTCCCGTAATTCGTTATTCGAGAAAGTAATTTCACGTCTTGTGGTCAAGCGGCTACAAAGAAGACGAACCAATTTCGCACAGGCGCTCACGACGATCGATCGATTGATCGATCGGCCGATAGAGGAGAGTTCTCGGAAAAGCATGATACTATGAACACGACGACGTGCAAAAACGTTGCATCGTCAATGAAGACTTATTGAAGATGCGTCAGTTTTGCCTCTCCCCTTCATCAATCGGCCGTCGGTGCCTCAGCGAGGAGCAGGTGTGGTTAAACCGGCGGAATCGATTGAATTCCAAGACTCACCCGGCGTGTCTTCTCTCGTTTCTTCACTCCCTTCCCCTCTCCCCCTTTTGGAGATCACTAGACGGAAGCCAAAATTGAAAAACCCACTTGCTCAGAGAGAAAATTTACTAAGCAAACTTTCAATTTTGGCCTCCCTATAGAGGAAACTTTCTGTAAATTTTATATTTTCATTATTTAACTGGCAAAGTTTTCTCTATGTAAAAACCAAAATTGAAAAACTCACTCATAGAAGAAGGTTTGTGGATGAAAATTTCCTATAATTTTCATACGTGTACAGGCAATTTTAATTTATCCAAACACATACAATTAACTAACTCTCCACTTATTGGTATTTATTCTATTATGACATTTAAGTATGTATTAATATTATATATTGCATAAACTGCATTATTGATGATAAATTTGTGTCCTTGTAAAATGGGAACTACAAGTTTTTGCATTTTTAAACGCAAGGTCGCTTTACTCAACCTTTTATCTAACCTGTTTAACAATAACAATATGGATAATGGTACCTAATTATTGCGACAGTCCATTGAGAAATGTGTCTTTCTCAATATATATTTGCATATTAAAACGATGTGTCACACGTTTCCGTCGGTGAAGAAAGTCACTTCTAATTTTTCTCGAAAACGGCTTTGCTGAATGACTACACATATTTATAGTCAATGTCTGATCAACAGAAGAACAATGCGGCTTTCCGCGTTTTCCTGATTTAAAAAACATTACATACAGACATACATTGGGACAAGTTTTTAAAAACATGTCTTTTCGACATTTAAATCATTCCAATTCCGTCGAACACGATGGCATTGAAAACTTGAAAAAAATGTTGAAAAAAAGGAGGATTAGTCATTCTCATAATTCGTTGATCGAGAAAGTAATTTCACGTCTTGTGGTCAAGCGGTTACAAAGAAGACGAACCTATTTCGCACAGGCGCTCACGACAATCGATCGATTGATCAATCGACCGATAGAGGAGAATTCTCGGAAAAGCATGATACTATAAACACGACGACGTGTAAAAACATTGCATCGTCAATGAAGGTTTATTGAAGATGCGTCAGTTTTGCCTCTCCCCTTCATCAATCGGCCGTCGGTGTCTCAGTGAGGAGCAGGTGTGGTTAAACCGACGGAATCGATTGAATTTTACGACTCACCCGGGTCTTCTCTCGTTCTTCTCTTCCTTCCCTTCTCTCTTTCTCTCGTGGGAATCGCTAGGCGATTCTGTGACTCTCTATCGCATCCACGCTCGTATCCTTTTTGCTCCTCGAGCTTTTCTCGACCGGGCAGCAAGATCGAGATCAACGCGTTCAATCACTGGCGATCCATCAGGCGGCGGACAAGTTTTACTGGATTATGTATCTTCCCTGGGACGCACTCGCGAGATGCCTGCATTCAAGGGAAATCAGCAAGGGATATCGCCGACTTCGAGATGCAACAGGTTTTCATTGTAAAAAAAAGCGTTTACCTATCGTATTGCATTATCACGCGCGCAGCAATAATTTTCTTCTCAGGCGCGCTGTTCCGAGATTATCGGAATTACTGGACGTATCAAATTGCATTTGAAAAACTACGGCGAAAAGCTACGAGTGACGTTCGCGTCCCTTGCGATTTCTTACGATCGTGTTGAATTGTTACACGTTTATGCGATCGAAAATATGGCCAGTTACTAAAGGCTCGTTTACAGTCAATTTTTATATTTAAGGATCGTCTTAAATACTTTTTAAATTACTTCTTAGCCAGTAAAATGATCTGTATAGCATTCGTACGGATCAGTTTTTTGGCTATATATATATATATAATAAATAGGGTACGACTCGTGAGTTTCGTTAATTCCGTCTGCGCCTTTCTTCCTTTTCGTGTAAACTTTATACAAATCGTTTCTTACATCAGCATCGAAAAAAAGTAGAGAAGGAAGAAGAGTAAAAGAAATACGATAAAATGTATTTCTTCGGTAAGCGGAGAAATCAGTTTTGGAGTTCCACCCGGAAGTGATCTAAGTCTGAAGTCAATCGGGGAAAAGAAAACACGGAGCACGGTCCTCTGCGTAGCGGTTTCTCCACGGTTGCATCCATGTGATGCTGTGTGAATTCTGGTCAAACCTGTAAGCCCCTGAGGAGTAATCAGTCGACATGCCCACATCGGGATGTCACTGACCGCGTGCCTCACCGTTCGCCACTTACGATCCACGTACGTTGTTCACCGGAGTCACATCTGACCCCTAAGGCGTTCCATATTTATGCCTAATGCTCGGCAAAGTGTCGTTATCGTCGAGTATCATCAGACTCTCTCGTGGCGCGCTGGTCGCGTCGCAACGGCGCGGAGAAGATATCCATATGATATTCCACGCGACTCGCGGTGCATAAAAGTTCAGGCATATGTAACGCGGGCCGCGTGCAGTTGTGCACATATTAAATCTCCTCGAGTACTCTTGCGCGAGACGTAACTGTACGAATCAATCCATAAATCTGCGAAAGGCTTTTCACACTCGGTCTGAAACTCTGGACCCTCCGAATTACGAATCACGAAGTCAAGACAAATCGTTCCAAGTGCGTGAATCTATCGTGAGACTTCGCATTTGGGAGCAGTGAGGGTTTTGAGGTGGTCTAATACGTTTTTAATAGCGAACGCGAATAAATTTCGCGCCGTCAATTCAGACGAGAAAGAGCTCTCGCGCGGTAAGAGGGTACAGAAAGGACCCGTTGTAACCGGTACGTCATAAGAGGACTCCACTCCCTCGTCCTCGCGCGCGTACTCTTCAGAGCTCTCCTCTCTTTCTCTCTCCCTCTCGTTTGTGTATCTTCTTCTTGACTACTTACCGAGATGGCGAGGTCAGCAGCGGTCATCCGACGAAGGGTATAACGGAACGCGTGGGTGCAACGTCAGCGTGACACGGATTAAATCGGTCGCGTTAGTTCGATTTGGAAAATAGGCGTTCCGCTTTCCGCGAGGCGTCTAATTTGAGGACGATCCTCCGGCGTCCGCGGCGGATCGCATTCAACGACGGTAGGCCGGAGATCCAATCGCACATACGAAACATTCTCGCGCAACGAAGTGAATCGCGGTTCAAAGATCCCGGGCCCCTTATCGGAAATGAGCGTTTCTTTCCCCGAGTCGGGAATTATTCTCATTACCGGACCTAACGGTGCGCGGACTCGCATCATAATGTAGGAAGTGGCAATGAACTCGATCCCGTGTGATTGGGAGGATATAATTTATGATTGTCCTCGAAAGGGGCACCGCGCTAGAAACGGAGTGCGCCGCGTATTACGACAGAACCGGTCGGCCAGGTTTCCACGGTGCCTACCTTCCCGATACCCGTGACATTGACATTAACATTCGCGTCGATATACAAACAAATGGCATTATTTTTCTGCTCCTCCCCCCGCTGTTTTGAATTTATCTCGCTAAAGTTATGCGGCGAGTGGGCTGAGTAATTTCCGAGTAGCCGTCGGTCTTTCGCGCGGGATAGACTTGGTCGAGAAAAGTTGCGTCGTGACTAGTCTCTCGGTCTCTCTCTTTCTCTCTCGTGTACGCGTACGCACAAAGGGAAATTATTCCATCATCTTTTTCATCAGTGTGCGAAGAGGCTGGCTGGGTGAGCGAGGAAACCGCGACCTTGGAGAATGCGTAATGCAGAATTTCGTGCACGCAATACGCCGGGGGCCTGGCTGCGGTGCCAGGTGTTCATCGGAGCGTGTGCGGTTGATGGTAATGAACTTTCGCGAGGCAAGGCCGCCGGGAATGATTTCATAACGCGAGCGCAACAGCCCCGGCGTTCTCCAGTTCTCTGCAGTGTGTAACAGCATCGTTGGCGCGCGCGTACGCGCTCAGACGCGGCGAGAGGGACGCGTCGGGTCGCGCCGGTCGCGCGGCGCGTTGCGGGAGGAATCGAGAGGGTCGCCCGCGAAGCGGGAGCGAGACAATCGCGGGAGGGGAAACGACACGCGGAGAGGAAACGGGAGGACTCGGCGTCGTACGTTGACTTACATAATGACTCCCCGCGACTCCTCGACGTATACGTGTATACGTGTGCATGTGCGCGCGCGTAAGTATAAGCGCGATCCTCTGTCCTTGATTACGAGCGAGGCGGCCGAAGAGCGCAATAAATCTCGCGCGCGGAAATTATATTCGAGGGAAGATACGTTTATTGTTGATACCGATAAACTCCCACATTGTCCTTTTTCTATGCGACCAAGATTGATTTAGAGTTGTACGTTCCGCGTGCACCTCGAGAGGGGCTCGCGCCAAGAGATCTCGGAGCGCACCTCGGCCGATTGCACTTCCGCGCGCCTTTGTGCAATCCGTTTTATTCGGAGCCGCATTTTTGCATCCGGAGAACGGAACATTATCTCGCCGCGTGAGATTTATTGGACGACTCTCACTGCGCCTCTTCCGAGAGGTAATTCGCGATCCGCGCCTTTCAATTTCGAAAGGATAAGAAATAAATGTCGAAACCTGTGCGAATCGACGATCGAAATATTCGAAATCGCCGTGTTGCGCAGTGACGCGTTTCGCAATTTTTCGTTGCGTTGAAACGCGTCACGATTTTTTGTCAGCATCTCCCAGCATCTCCTAGTTGTGCTCGAGATCCCGTTAGTACGTTGACGGTAATTTATCGTTACCGGTGAAGAAGCGAGGAAAATGCTTGCTCGCGTGGCAAAAAGTTGTCTTTCGGTTTTCGGTGCGTATCGTCGCAAGACTCGATGGACCGTTTAAAGGATGCGATGATTCCCCACTGGTTCCGGGAAAGAGCCAAATCGGCGGTGATTGCGGCGACCATCTTACTCCTCCTTCCCAATTTTCCGTCACGGTACTCCTCGCTGTCTGACAAGCTTCTTTTATTCAGTAACAGTCCAATTGTCTCATTATGCGTTTGATTACCGCGAGCGCACACCGTTGTTCGTACATTGAATGATCATATTGTGTCGTTGTAGTTAAACGCTATAATGAAGATCACGTACGGAGATTACAATCGTGTACACGAAGCCTCGACACCTTGACCGTGGTCTCCGTGAAGGGAGGTGCGACGTAATAATTTAGTCTGACCATTGTGCGAGACAAGAATCGTCTCGGTAGGCCACGCGTACGTGATGGGTTCGCATAACGTGGAGGCACGCGGCTCGGGCTCCGGCTCGCTCGTGGGACTGACGAGACACAACCGAGTCTCCATTCAGCCGTCGTCGTACTTCCCAGTACAGTTCGGTTCACTGGAAATCACCTGCGTCGCGGAATGCTAATTCTTGAACATCGCGAAACTCGCTTCCACGTGTGATGTAAAGGTATATCGATGGATGGCCAGTTCTTGGAAAAAACGTGCGTATCGAAAATACTGCATAGAGTTCACGTCGATTCCCAATCTTGGAAATGCATTAATTTCAATAAAATGATATAATCTTTTCGTACGTTTGACAAGTCACAGCTAGATCCGGCTCTTCCTCTTTTACGAATATTTAAACTACACTTCCTCATCCGTACTTTATATAATATTGCACGGATGTTGTTTGGGATTTTTCGAGTAATTTGAAGCTAAACGCGACTTCGAAGATGAGAAAGCAAGAACGAGGGCGGGTCGGACCGGCGATATAGAGAAGGCTCATTGTGCGATTTCTCGATGAAAACATCTCGGTGATTGTACTTGCAGGAGAGTATCCTGTCACGTTTCGGGAACAATCGAACTCGAGTCCTGGGCGCGACACTCCAATTTCAAAAAGAGAGATTGCAAAAGCACGTGGTCGCGTAAGAAAAGAATGAGCTCGCAGAGGGAGGTGTCGTGATTGTTGTGCGCCAATGTCCGCGCGGATGGCGCGCGAGAGGAAGAGTCGGAATGGAATTCGCTATGCCGGTGCGCACTCACCATGCAGCTCGTATGACTGGGGCGAGGGTGTTAACGAGAATTCGCCCACGTGTGTTTGCGCCATATGACGCTGCCACTCGTTCCGTTGTTAAGCCCCGGTGCACCCTCGAGAGACGACGAATGCGTCCCGCCAGTAATTACTATGATAAACTGCACGCGGGAGACACATTGACGTCCACCCCTGCAAATTTCGCCGAGCTTATTCGGCAATCCCGTTTTATGCTTTTCATTAACTTCAACCTCACCTACACGCCCACATACTACCTGTCGCGGCGCGCACGATCGCGTAGCACTAACAGTCGTCTTTCTTTGATTGCAGCGCCGGTATATGACCAAGATACCACACAGATTGCAGAGTACGATGGAGGTACGTGTATTATACTTATTTTTGTTGCATCCAATCAGTCATATATGGTAACCATGTGACATCAGATAATTTCAGTCGATTTTCCACCAGTTATGTGTTGGAATAAACTAAAATTAACCGAGTTTAACAGAATGCGACGCGATAAAGCGCGTGGTAACACGTGTATGGAAACTAAGGATAATCCGATTGTGATTCGAGAAGCCGCACGCGTCGTACTTTAATTCAATAAATCAGAAGAAAAATTGTTACACACGTTTTTTATGCAATATATTATGAATTACCAAATTCTTCTGAATTAGTCTGAATTGAATTCATTCAATTGCATTTCGTGACCAATATAATAATGTAGCGAAAATTATAATTATATTTTACAGAAATACGGCGAATTTATTAGTGTTAAATTATTTCTCTCTCTCTCTCTCTCTCTCTAGTCACCGTTGGATGTTACTTCAACTATCAACGGTATCAAGAAGGCGACAGGATCATGACGAGTGAACCATGTCTGAACTGTACATGCCACAATCGAATGCTGATGTGCTACTTGAAGGTCTGCCCCTTCACGAAAGCGATCGGCCAGGATTGCACGGTGGAGAAACGTCCGGATCAATGTTGCCCCGTGATCACCTGTCCGGAAGTACCGGTTCAGCTGTTGACGTCGACGACAAGCGCACCGGCGACCTTAGACTCCACGGAAGTCGGTTTCCACGACAATTATGGCTGTCATGTCGACGAGAGGTTTTACGCAGACGGCGCTATGCTGCCGTTGGATCATCACAATCCTTGCGAGCTTTGCTACTGCATCAGAAATAGAACCACTTGCGTCATGCAAGAGTGTACTTTACGAGTGGCTGGATGTAAACCGGTCTATCAGCCGGGTGTATGTTGTCCGATCAAGTACAATTGCGGTAAGTAGTTACGTTGTCCCGTGATATCTCGGTGCTATTTTGTGCTGGGAAATGCTCATAATCATCGATTCTTTGCGCAGAATACGATGAGGAACTTAGCACCACGGTTGGTCCAACTCCCGGTCTCATCATGACCACAACGCTACCTCCTGGCGTGTTACCTCAATGTTATTACGAGGGTAAAGTCTATGAAGATGGCGATCTGATTTATTCCACTCAGCCCTGCCAGCATTGCTATTGCTTCCGAGGCGAAATCGCTTGCGCGGTGCAAAATTGCGGAACGCCGATGCAAGAGCATGGAAAGAATTGTACGGCCTTACCGCCACCGGAAGGAGAATGTTGCCCGACTACATACCAGTGTGGTAAGTAATTTCACGTAATAACTGATAGTTGCGATGTATTATGTAACTCGACGATCTAATAGACATCATTAGTCAATGAATATTACGCATTAAAGGATATGCTCGTGTATGCTTATTACAGAAGAAGGAATGACCACGGTGATTCCTCAACTTCCACAAGATGAAGGTGAACAGCTTCCGGAACAAGTACCAGAACAAGAACCAGAACAAGTACCGGAACAAGAACCAGAACAAGTACCAGAACAAGAACCGGGGCAAGTACCAGAACAAGAACCGGAACAAATACCAGAACAAGTACCGGAACAAATTCCGGAACAAGTACCAGAAGAAGGAACTATCGAACACATTACTCAGGGACACATTCCGTCTACCGAAAAACCTGAAGAACAGCCCGCAACATTACCAGCAGAAGAGACAGAAACTACTATTGTTGAAAAAGAATCCACTCCTTCTCACGAACATGTTACCGAAACGTCTCCTGTTGAGACAACATCGAAAGAGGCAGACGCAGCGGAAGTGCCTTCTGAAGTAGAAGCAGAGTCGGAAGCGCCTACGACAGTAGGAGCCGAAGAAAGTCCAGTTACTAAAGCACCTGTCACTGAATTACCGGAAGCTTCGTCTATTGCAGAAGGTTTACAACCAGAAAAGGAGGTATTAACGATAGAACATGTACCTGAAGTACACATAGGTACAGAAGAGAATATAATAGAAAAGGACCATGGTACTATTGCTCCTACTGAAAAGGGACAAACGATTGAACCTTCCATTAGCGAAGCAACGCAGACTGAAGGCCCAGTAACAGAAGAGGAGACTACTAGCCCGCACGAATTGTCAACGCAGACACAAGAAGAAACGACCGAAGTAGAAAAGTCAACAGAAGAACAAATTAGCGTGACGAAAATGCCGGAAAGACCAGAGACTTCCACTGAAATAATTGAGAAGATAACATCGTCAACTGAAGAACCGATCAGCACTGTTTCTGAATCTATTAGCGAGCAGCCGAAGGAAGGTAAACCAGAAACTACACCGGGTGAATTCTTGGCAACGCAAACGGAATCACCGAAAGAAGAAGAAACAACGACTGTCGCGCATGAGATATCCAGTACTGAACAACTCATCACTGAGAAAGAAGAAGTATCGTCTCCAACGGAAACCGCTGTTACGGAAATGATTCCGACGACTGAAGTAAGGGGTCCTTCTAAAGAACAACCTACCGAAGAACAGAAACCGGTGCCAAGCGAAGGCGAAAAGGAACAACAGCCAGAAGAGACGACATCTGAGCATGCAATTGAAGAGCAAGCCACTGTCGGCGCTAAAAAAGAAGATGCCGGCTTGACTGAGAGTCCAGTGATGGGTGAGGCATCTACGGAGGAGTCACATGAGGAAGAAGAATCAACTTCGAAACTTCCAGTTCAAGGCCCAACTGGCATACCGATTCCCGCTCGAAGCCCAGAACAGAAGGCAGAGGACGATAGTGTGTATCATGTGACGGAAGACTATCACGGTGTTACACACCCAGAAATTGGTCCTGATAATCTCATAACTGAGTCTCCACAGAAAACACCTACAACACATTTCCCGCAGGAACAAGAGACTACGCTGGCCCCACCGGAAGAAACTGCAAAACCAATTACGACGGAGAGTACTGAAGTGGAAGGAACCACGAAGCCGACGCTAGAACAAGCTACGGAAATAAACTTACCAACTCAAAAACCTGAAATCATAGTCTCTGAAGAAACGAAAACGGAAAGCACACCTGCTGTCACCGAAGTTCAGACCAGCACGGAATTTTCCGCAACTACTATCGCTCAGGAAATATCAGAAGAAGAAGTACCTAAGAAATCTAGTGTGCCAGAAGAGACAGAAACTAAAATACCACAAACGGAAATTCCGTTAACAGAGAAGACCCCCAGTGGCGAGGAAATGTCTACGGAAGGACTTTCCGTCGAAGAATCTAGTGAAAGTTCTACTGAGAAAATCAGTGGCGAAAAAGGTGAAAAAGAAGTGCAACCAAAGAAGGAAGAGAAAGCAGAAACACAATCTCCAATCGCAACGGAACCAGCTCCCGAAACACCTACATCTATCCCAGCGGAGCATTCGACGATGCCTTCGGAGCTTGGAACAGAACATGCAACGGAAGGTGAACATGTTACTACTGTAATTCCTTCTGAGCAATCAACGCACGCGCCAACACAAATCGAAGAGAAAGAAACTGAAATTGTTCCCGTTGAAAAAGAAGAACCAGTTACTGAAAAACCAGTCGAGGAACGTGTTACAGAACATCCCATTGCAACACCAGGCATACCTAGCGAAAAGGAAAAAGAACAAACCGAAGAACCTGTTTTGGAAGAGGGGCAAACCACGGAAGCGATAAAGACGATAGAAGCTGAAGAAAAACTTACAACGCGAATACCCGCTGTCGAAGAAGGAATAACCGAACAACCGGAGCAATATTCTACAGAGAAAGCTTTGGAGGGCGCTGCTGTTACAGAAAGACATGGTCCGGAGGAAATAACAGAAAAGGAACCGTCTGAAGAAACTGTAGAATTGAAACCAACGGAAGTTACTGGTGTTGAACACACAGAATCGCCCGTTGAACATCCCACCGAGGCAGGTGAAATTGAAAAAGGAGATGAAGAAAAGATTTCTGTGGCTATATCCACGGAGGAAGTGCAAACAGAAATTCCTGTAATTGAAACTGAAGCCACCGAGACAACGACTGTGGAAACAGAAAAGATGCAAACTGAACCTTCCGTCAGTGAAGAACATGTACCGAGCCAGCCTTCGATTCCTTCAGATCGCAAGGAAGATCAGGGACCTATTGAGCCAGACCTAAATAAAGAGCAAATAACGCAGAAACCAGCAAAGGAAATAACTGAAGAACCACAGCAACCAACAGTTCCTTCTGAAGAAGAAACATCTCATATTCCATCTTCTACTGTTACTGAATCTATTCTACCAGAAGAAAAACCGGCTGAGGGTAGTACAACGGAATCTGCTGAGGGTGGTGAAGCCGTTATACCGGAACAGCCTGAAATATCGAGCGAGCAACCAGAAAAAGTCACAACTAAACCATCCGAACAGGAGGAACAAACTCAGAAACCAATCACTGAAGGGCAGCCGGAGATACATGAAAGGAAGGAAACTGAAACGTCCAGTCCTGCAACTCATGAGGAGTCTACTATATCTCCTAGAATTCCTGAAAGTCCAGTTGAAGGTGAAGAAAGCGCAGATGTCAGTAAGACGACCGAAACTATAGAAAGCGAAAGTACGACGATACCAATATTAATTCCTGAAGCATCAACTGAGCTGCCTGGATTAGAAGAATCTACGAAGCACGAAGTTCTCATCGAGGAAGGAATTACACCTACGACTGAAACCGTATCTTCGGAAAAAGAGCAACCGGGAATACAAGAGCAAGCCACGCAACCGTCGATACCAGAAGAAATACCGAGCAAAGAAGAAAATGAAATGAAAGGCTCAGCTGAAATATCTACTGAAGAAAGTATAACTCCTGAAACATCAGAAGTACCGATTACTAAGGAACAAACACTGAAGCCCGAAGAAGAAATTATAAAAAAAACTGGCATCCCAGAGATACCGGAACATGAAGAAAAAGAAGAACATTCAACAGTTATTCCAAAAGAAACACCTGAGATGACTAAATTACCGGAAGTGCCTCAATATACAACGAACATTCCTGAAGAGACTTCTGTAGAAGGAGAGAGTACATCGGAGACTGTACCTCGTCCATCAGGTATTCCAGGAGAAGGTAACTGTCTCGTGGAAGGACAGTCTTATAGCAACAATTCGGCGGTTCCACCGGCAAACGCGTGTCAAACCAGTTGTCGTTGTATCAGCAGTATTGTACAATGCGAACTTGTACAATGTCCTGCCCCGCCAGTGCACTTATCGAATTGCATGCCAGTTCACACGAATGGAGAATCTTGCTGTCCGATGTACGCTTGTGACTCTACTCCGACTGCTGAATTAGAATCTGATAGTCATGTGATCGAACCTCATATATCCGGAGCCGAAGAAGAAAGCCAGAAGACTGTTCCGCCTACGATACCAACAGAAGCTGCGACAGAATCGAGTACATTAGTTGGTGAGATTAGTACGCCGGAATCACGACCTGTAGAGATTACTGTTACTCCATCTGAAGAAGAGATAGCAATTGAGAGACAACAGACTACTCTTAAACCAACTTATGAACAACCAACTACAGTTGGGCAACCTATCGAGCAATATCCTGAGGAACATACCATTAGTCCGGTGTCTGAGACATCTCAAGAATCCGCCAGTCAAATACCCGAAATACATACTGTGCCAGGGGAAACTATAGAAGACAAAGTTAAAGAAGAAGGTATAACAGAATCAACAGCTTCGACTGAGCAACCGCAGGAAGAAATTGGGGAGAAGCAGGTTACTGTTAGTGGTGAAGTAATTACTTCCACACATGTACCTGAGGAACCTCACGGCACTGAAGTTACAGTTCCTACAATAGAGAAAGAAACTTCTGTTCCTGTCGAAATAGAAAAAGTTACGACGGTAACAGCTGTTGAAGAAGAAACCATTACGCCAACTAAAGAAGAGGAGAAACCCACTGAGGAAAAAGGTATCGAAGAACAGTCGACGATTAAACCAACTGAGGAAGGACTTGAAAAGGAACAACCAGAAGAAGAAAAAGTTCCAATAAAGCCAACTTCCGAGGAACCTGCTGAGGAACCCGAAACATCCACAAAACCGGAAGAAATCGCGACGGAGAAACCAGAAATTCCAGAGGAACAAAAAACTGTTAAACCAACCGAGTATGAGATTACTACCGTTCCTGAAATTCAATCGACGATTAAACCCGAGAGTGAAACTGGACACAAAGAAGAAAAAGAACCAGAGACAGTCACAATAACTGAAATTGCTCCAACTGAGGAACCAGAAAGCATAACAAAATTGTCTGGTACCGCTCCAAGCGAAGTAGAAACACAGAAGCCAATTATACCTGCTGTTGAATCGACAACACTGATACACGAACATACGGTAAGTGAGGAGGCGCCGATGGAGGAACATACAACTATAAAATCTATGGAAGTTTCCACGGAAGAAGTCACGAAAACGGAGCCAGAAATTTCAACTCAAGCTCCTGCAATTGAAGGAGAGCAGGCTATAATTCCTGTCTTGCCTGTTGAAGTAGAATTGCCTAGCGAGGAAACCACTACACTAGTCGAAGAAACAACTCCCGAAGTTCCCCATGAAGAAGTATTGCCAGGAACCACGGAAAGCGCAATAGAAAAGGAAACTACTGAACATGTTGAGAAGCATACAGAGCCATCAGTTACAGAACACGGAGAAGAACCATCAACCACGAAATCTTCCGAAGAAAAACCATCTGAAACTGAATCTCCCGTCAGCACAGAGGAACCAGCGAAAACTATTGAAGTTGATAAAACTACTGAAGCAGAAGCAGAACATGAGCCCACTGAGACCAGCGTTACTCACGAACCGGAAAGTACGCAAGTCTCGATTGAAAAGCACTCAGAAGCTCCACCTGAAATTGAATCTCATACGCCTGAACCTACCGAAGAATACACAGTAGCCGGGGAAATTTCAACACCGTCCGCATCTGAAGAAGTCGGCGAGCAAGCTACTACATCGATCGTAAAAGAAACTGAGCCAAGTCTAAGCGAAGTGGGAACTAAACAGCCCGTTATTCCAGAATCTGAAACACCAGTTGTAGAAGAAGAACATGTTACCGCTCCGGTCGAAGAGCAAACTCCGAAATCCGAGGTATCTCCTATCGAGGAACAGACTGTTACTTCTCCTAGTTCCAGTGAAGAAAAGACAACAGAAAGTGGTGTTTCGACAGAAGTGCCGGTAACGAGTCCAGAGGAACAGACAACTGAAAAGGCCATAGAACATGTCAAACCAGAAACGCAATTACCTAATGTAACGGAGGAACATACAGTTATTCCCAAAATTCCCCAGGAAGGGGAAGAGCAGAAACCTGAAACGGAAAAACCTGGTAAAGAAGAACCGACTACAATTTCCGAACAAACAGAAGAAGTCAAGAAAGAAACGGTAACGCCTGCTACTAGTAGTACAGAGTACAAGCAAGAAGAAATTGAGCCAGTGAAAATTCATGAACCAATGGAAACAACGACAGTTTCCATAGAACAGAAACCGGAGAAGGACGATCAAGTTACCGAGGTCAGTTTACCGGAACATCCAGTGAGTGAAGAAGCCACAACAATCGCAAGTTTGGTACCCGAAGAACATCCAATTGTACCGGTAGAAACGGAAGAAAAACTAAGCACTCATGAACCTGAATATCAGACCACGTTATCTACTGCAGAAGAAGAAGTATCGAAACCAGCGACCGAGGCAATCGAAGTGGAGAAACTTCCACCCGAAGAAGAAACCATTACAACTGAAAGTGCGGAAAAATCGGAGGAACCTGTTACGAAGCTCGAAGTAAGTTCAACCGAAAAGCCCGAGGAAACTTCATCTGAAACGGAAGAGCCAGCTAAACCAGAACAGGAAACAGAATCGCTCGAGAAAGGTGAAACTACTACGAAAATAATTGAAAGTGCAGTAACCAAAGAAACATTACCAGAAGAAGTGGTTCCAGTTGAAGTGACTCCAGAAGAGAAGCCAACTGAAATTTCTACAACAGAAGAAAAGGAAGGAGCACATTCAACCGAACCTACTTATTTAGTTGAAACGACTTCCGTTCACGAGGAAGAACAACCGTCGACAACCAAATTACAGCCTACTGAAAGTCCTCTTCCTTCTGAGGGAGAAACTCCTGCGGGAGAAATTCAGCCTGGCCAACCTGAGGAAGGCGGAGAGGCTCATCCAACTGTACCCGAAGAGAGTCATCCGAGTATAACCGAAGAACCTCAGATTATTACGGAACATGTGCCTGAAGAACCTCAGATTACTACGGAACATGTGCCCGAAGAACCTCAGATTACTACGGAACATGCGCCCGAAAAACCTCAGATTACTACAGAACATGCGCCCGAAGAACCTCAGATTACTACGGAACATGTACCCGAAGAACCTCAGATTACTACGGAACATGCGCTCGAAGAACCTCAGATTATTACGGAACATCCGCCCGAAGAACCTATTACGATAAAAACAGAAGAACAACCAGGAACTTCTTCAGAAGCTGTCACGACTGTTGAAGGTCCAATTAAGGTTTCCGGAGATGTAAAACCAACTGAATTGCCTGAGACGGCTACTATCACATCAGAGGAACCTCAATTCCAGATCCCGATAAAGCCCGAAGAAAGTATTCCGCAACCGGAAACGCCAATCGAGGAACCTGTCATAAAGACGCAGCCGACGTTGCCGACGGAATTACCAACCGGAGAAATTACAGAAGAGATTCCCGAAGAGGAATCCATTCATCCGCAAGAAGGCGAGGGTCAGCACATTGATCATTTCCCGGAGGCCACTCTGAAGCCTGAGATCGATTATAACTTCCACGATCAACGACCGGCGACCACCTTGGCTCCTCATATTCCGGATTATCCTGACCAATCCGGAATATCGGGCGAGGACACTCATTTCCCCGGTGGCTATCCAAATCCCGACGATGATTATGGCGAGGAAGATTATGGTGGACCAGGCACCTGCCGATACGGTGGCAAGGTCTATGTCTCGGCTCAACAGATACCTAGGGACGATCCGTGCGACTTCTGCTTCTGCTTCAGGAGCGACATTATCTGTCTTCAGCAGAGCTGTCCACCACCTATTCCAGGCTGCCACGAGGAACCGATCAGCGGTTTTTGCTGTCCTAGATACGAGTGTCCTGTCTCGATGGCCACGGCTCTTAACTTGACCACTACCACCACGACGACTACAACCACGTTACCACCGCACTTCCACGCGCACGCTTACAAGGGAGCCGCGAGACGAAGTGGCTGCCAGGTCCGTGGCCAGGCCTATCGAGTGGGAGAAGTTATTAAATCGGCGTCTGGACCTTGTCTCCGTTGCATGTAAGTTTTTATAATATATTTCCTCTATATTTCCTACTTTCTATAAATTGTCTTCATATTAACTCTATGTATGTAATTTCTAAAAGAAAATATATATATATATCTTAACGCGAATTATTGGAAAATTTTAGTTGCGGAGGTGACGGCAACATGAATTGTGACCCGCGAGTATGCAGTCCGGAACCAATGCTGAGGCAAATGATAGCCGCGACTACAGATGCCAAGAGAAGGAGATGAGCCGCCAAGTTGGATCACGGGATTTATCTCTACAAAGGAATCATATAGGATGAGCACGAAGACGAGAAAGTCAACAGCAGGAAAAAAATTCAGTGTTGTATAAAAGTGAAATTATTCTGAACTATCTAAACGTCGCGCGGAACACAGACAATAGTGTACTTCGGCGATTACGAACTGAGTGGCCAAAACGTAAACGTTTATATTAATAATATTATATTATGTTATATAAATAAAAAGAGAAAGAGCAACGAGGCGAGAAAGAGAAAAAAAGAAAGAGAGATAGGAAGGAGGCAATAATACCGGTCGGAGAATCGTAGGAGATTAATCGTGTTTCGGTGCTAATATGCGAACACGGAGAAAGAAAGCCAAGCAGCGTGGATGTAGAAAATGTAGGCAAAAAAGAAGAAAAAAAACGGAAAAAATCGTGATAATTCCGCGTTCTATCTCGCGTGGGATATTTTATACATGCCCTAAAAGGACAAGAAAGAAAGAAAATTACTGAACGTACGAGACTTATGACTGTGCCTTTGTCAGTGTTGAATATCAGCGGCACTGCTTTCGTTTCGGCAACGAGTGCCGTCCGCAGCCACGGTCATCGTCGTCGGTAATGGAAAAAAAAGGGGAAAACACGAAGGAAGAGAATTGCGATCGCGACTCCTAGGTGACGGGAGAAAAAAAAAGAAAAGAGGTGCGACAAATGCGTTTCGTAAGACGCATAAGAAACGGGAAAAAAAAAGAAGAAAAAAGAAGAATAAGAATGGAAAGAAGAATTTAACGGCGCCGGCCGAGCGGGTCGCACAGTGATACTGAAACAGCGGAGGAGGATTCGTACGAATCGTACGAAGGATACCTCGATTCGCAAATCGTCTAGCTAGCTAGAAGCTTTTTTAAACGTTTTTTCTACGCAAACTATACGTCCACGGTATCCCTCCTACGATGCAACGCCGTAAATTGGGAAATATAAGAAAGAATGTAAGATTATACGATATCCGGCGTATCCTCACGGCTCTTATGGTGTCACTGCGACAATCTTAAGCGACGACGATATATGTCATTATTTGCTACGCGATCGAGCGTGTTCTGAATCGTTTATTCGGCTGCTACGTGTGTCCCGCTGATCGGGTCACGCTACTCAAGTTTGCTGACGTTCACGCGCACTCGGACACGATCGAGATGAATGGATCGGCATAACCATAGCCGGCCGTGCTTCCAGTATTCTTAAGCCGCGAGGATCCAAAGATCCTTTCCTTTTCAAGGAAGAACTTCCGATCGAGCCATCTTCTTTCTTCTTTTTTAATCGATCCGCCAATACCATACGTATATAGTGCCAACAATCGTGTCCTAGTGCGCGCACGAGTGTATGTATGTGCGTGTGTGTGCATGATGCATGTATATGTTAAAGACGAGAGAGAGAGAGAGAGAGAGAGAGAGAGAGAGAGAGAGAGAAAAAGAAAGAAAGAGAGAGAGAAAGCCAGAGAGACGAAAGATACACGCATCTCAAAGCTCAAACAGCGGCTCGCGCGGAGGACCGATCCGAGAATTTGCTTCTCCGGCGAGCTGGCGTCATTATATATAAATATAGATATAAATATAAATATATATACATTTATATAATTCTTTATATACACTGTACTCTCCTCTGATAATAACACTTAACGATAACGATGTTCTATACATTTGTACGAAAGTATAGCTGTTAAGAGAACGAGATGAGAGATAATCGCCCATAACGGTTCTCCAGTCTCAAAGTATCGCGTTAGAAAAGAGAAAACGATAGGAACTACGGGATCTCTTTCCAAGTCAATTATTTATCTCGATAGCGATGGTACTCAGTTCGCTTGATCGTCGTCTAATCACGAAACAACGTCACGCTTTGAGACTCTGGAACTCTGCGGGCTGTCTTTAGTGTAATAAATAGAACGAATGTTATATATATATTATATATATATATTGTCGCAAGAAATACTGCGCATACTGTCTGTATAATAATCGAACGAAGATGAGTCAACGTTCGGTCTTCCTGATATCAGCGGCCCGTTAATCCTAGTTACTCGTTTTATGAATTAAGCCCGTATCCCCGGGAGAACAGCTTCTCGCGAAGAAAGATATCGTGAACGCGTTTTTCTCGTTTTCTTCACGTAAAGGATCTCTTTCGACTTGAAAGTAAGACCAACGTATTCATGGAGCTTCCACGACAACTCGATCGTGATATACAAAGTGGCCATATTATTACTGTCACTGTTCTCAGACGTGAATGAAACAAATCTCCCACGCAATAATCGATAATAAAATTTTTTATATACGTACGAAACGCTTTTGTATTATACTTTACGATCGTAATGAAGTCACGATGCAAAAAATAGTTAGCGCTGCGACATTCTCGTCGAGGAAGGGTTGGGACAGAATTTCAAATTCATGGCTGGACTTCGTGCATCTTTACACAATCGGGCGGATGTGCGTTCGAACAGGCCGAGGAAGCAAGAAAGGATCAGTGTCATAGTTCTCTCAATTAATAACGTCGACGAAGGCGCGCGGTCTCGCGCGCTTGTCTTCCATCGCGATAAAGATTTATCACGCGCCGGCGAGCAACGCGAAAGTAGCTACAACAATTTGCTCAAGGCTCATTGAAAGTTACGCGGTTGTAGTCGAGTCGACTCCTCCCAAGCCAACTTTTTCTAGCGATCGTAGTCGAAATCTAGTATTTATATCTCGATATCAACCCTTCCCTCCACCCCCCTCTCCCTCAATCATAGCGAGATCATGATAATTATCAAAGGTAAATATGAATGTCGAGTATTTACGATAATAAGTACGATATTATGCATGTAGCTAATGCGTAAGGTATACATACGTGCTGGATATACGTAGAACCGCACATGTAAGACTAGTTGTTGAAGTCGGGAGGCAACGAAGCGTCCGCACACATAAGTAGGCGCAAAGCGCACGAATCGACCAATTCCTGTCCGTTTAGCCACGTCAACCGCACCCCCTCCCCCCACGTGCTCGATGGCATTAACATCGGGAGATTTTCTCGTGACGCAATTACCGCGGGCGATTATAGTGGCAGAAGGATTTGAATCGGTCCCGCGTATGCGCGCGCACCCGCCCACGTGACGCGGCACGTGGCGCGTGGAGCGGTTTACGAAGAATGCTCGATCCCTGCGACGCCTCCTTTTTTTTTTACACGTGAGTACGATCGCGCGCTGCTATGCGGAATATAAATTGACGTCATTCGCCGCGTATTATACTATGTGATAAACGGGATAAACGAGAGCGAGCCGGGAGAGAGAAAGAGAGGAAGAAACAGAAAGAGAGAGAGAGAGAGAGAGAGAGAGAGAGAGAGAGAGAGAGAGAAAGAGACAGAGTCCCGGCGGTGCCGACTGTATGGAAGTAGGCTAGGTTCGACAGTACGTGCTAGTATAAAGTGTCCTTTTATATGAATAAAAGATTTTGTATGTCAACCTGTGTACTTCTACTATCCCGAGTAGAGCGTAAATCTCATGTATAAATAACATCACGTCTCGTTCATCGCTTCGAAGTTCAATTAATGTCACTTCAACTTCATTCTTGATGTCGTAGTGACATCGCGCTACCTGGGGGTGCACCTCGTACTTTGTACAAACAGTCCGCCGTCCTCGCTCGCGTGTCAGCGAGGAAGATTTCAGTTGAACATACAATAACGACAGCGAGTGATAATAATACTAACAAATACCCTTTCATTAAATTTTAAATCGCCTCGCGATTATAATGTGATAATATTCTGGCAAACACAGATAACTGATGCCGTGATCAAACGGATTGTGTCAATATAACGCGCGCGTTATATGTAACGTATGCCCACGTTAGTTGTAATTTCCCACTGGGACATTGCAATTACGAAACCGTAGTACGTGTAACAAATATTATATGATTATTATAATATTATATGTACAACTGTAGCATGTAATGCAACAGATGTAGAGAAAAGTCCCCTATTACGAGGCAGACTCCTAATAAGAGACAGCGGGTTTTCCACAACATTAATAAACATCATCTGTTGGTTCGACCATGAACTGATGATCCGAGATCAGCGATTCTTACCTCATTAGAAGCGCTGGAATCGTACCTTTCCAAAAACCACGATCATTTTGCTCCGATTTTTCTCTGCAAAGGTATTGATGATTGTATCGAATCGCGACCGCAACCTGGGACAGATGCAGCAGACGGCGCGTCGTCTCGCGCGATGATGTTCACTACCAAACACTTGCGCCTGTCGAGTTTTTGTGCCAGTCTTTTGGGGATAATCGCGCGTGCAAACGACGCAGCAACTGTGATGTTGGCGGCGAAAAATCGCAGGTCCTGAAAAGCAAAAATTGTGGAAATCCGCAGTTGTGACACACGAGTTTACACAAATTCTATCCGGTGTCTCTCCTGAAGTGCGCGAGAAGAATCAGTTACCGACGCGAAGAGGTTAGGCGCCGGCGCCATCTATCGTCGCTCGAGGGGGGTTACAAGCCACCATTCGCAATAGGTAACTGTCGCGTCGTCGGTAATGCAGCAAGCGGCACTTACCTCGCGGCGGCGGATCTTACGATGTCCGAGAATAAAAGGCCGGGAGCACACACTTTTGCACAAGTGCAATATGTGCGGATGCAAAGAGATGCTCCCGCGAGGTAATCCCGTTGTAAGCCGCATCGGCGGCTGAACGGCGATGAAATTATCTCTCAAGGCACACGGGATAATCGGACGACAGTTAACGCGCGTTGTACTCTCGCCGAGATTTCCCGGCACGCTACTCCCGGCGGCTGCTTGGGCGCCACGAACGAGCTTGCGAACGCGCTACTTACTTACGGCACCCCGGACGCGGGGCTCGTCCTCTCGGCGAGCCGAAATCGACGGACACACGGAGCGGATTCTCGCGCCCGACCGACCCGCTTTCCGTTTGGCAACTCTGTCCGTTGATTGGACTAGAAACGCTCGCAAGCTTGAACGGCAAAGCAGCGGCCAATCAGGCGGCGAGCTGTCGAGCACCGATCTTGCGGTGACAAGATCACGGCAGCGAGTCTATCTCGTGTAACCGTAGGTTCGCATCGCATACGCGTATAATATATCGGGTGCGTACGGTTTCACGCATAATGTGCGTGATGAAGTACGAGAGCGTCGCACAAAAATTTTACCATCGACTCTCGTCGCTTCTCTCTGATTACAGGGTCTCTATATCATAAGTTCGTCAACAGCGCACCTAGCAATCACATGACGAGTTAACGAGCGACGCTGTCGCGAATGTCGCGATCCGCTCCGGTCTGCAGCGAGGATCGCGGAACAGCCGTAGCCGAGCCCGGGATCGCGCCCGAAGCCTCGATTTTGCAAGTATTGCCAGAGAGAAACCCGAGAGCGGCCACGCCGGGCGTTTCACTTGATACCGGTGTTGCTCTCCCCAGTGAGAAATGATTCGTCGATCGACGTCGAAACGACGTCGATCGACATCATCATTTCTCACTAGGTTCGGACATTGTTGTGCCCATCGATCTCTACCGACGCCGATTAACTTTAATTCCGGTTTAAGTTCTTGTCTCTTTCCAACTTTAGAAAGCAGGAAAAGCCGAGGAATAACTTAAACCAAGATCAAAGTTAATTAACATTGGTAGAAATGGAACGTTAGATGTAAAGTTACGTGAATTACTCTTGACATTGGTCTCGGTGAGGCATCGCCAATGTCTACTTTGCCCCCGCGAAGCGCAAAGTATAGAAAGTATCAAAAAGTATTGAACAAAATACAACGTTTTTCCGATTCCGTTTATTAACATTTCGCCACGCAGCGTATGTAAGTCGTCATATAAAATCATATAAAATCAAGAAGTTCGCAAGAGACTCGAGCCGCGCGTCAGCCGCTTGAAGTCCGCCGGAACAGGGCAGCCAACGTCGGGCGACAAGTTCCGCGGCGGGCCGGCTGCGCGAGCGATTCCGCGCGCGAGGGCCAAGTGTACATCGCCGTATCCTGCGCGGATTGTCCGTGGGACGAAGCGGGCGTGGGTACAAAAACGTACACGCGCTTCTCTGCACGAAGCTAAGCGCGCGACGGGAGGCGCGATTCGAGAACGGAAAAGAAACCGCTTCGTGTCGGCTTCGCGCGCGCCGGAGAGGCGAAGGGCTCGCGCGCGCGTACCCAGACGGAGCGCGCGCACGTTGGCAGCGCGTGTTTTGACGCATTGTCAAAGTGGTAAATTGCCTGCTCGGTGTTCGCGCTGGGGGACGAGGCACACCGTGTTCCGCGATTTTCGTGCGAGACAACGCGGGGGAATCGTTGTCAACGAGCGATGGAGGCCGGCGCGAGCACGGGCACTCGCACGACGCGTTTTATGATGGAGGGCGTCGGCGCCCGAGTGATACGTGGCCCGGAATGGAAATGGGGGAAGCAGGTTAGAAACCGAGAGGTTAACTTCGCTGAGCGCGATTTTTTCGGGGCAACGCGACACCCTGCCCCCGCGGGGACGTTTGCGACAAACGCTCCCGCGCTCCCCGCGTCCCGCGGCGGCGGTCCGGCGATTTTTTCGACGGAGCCGCGCCTGCAAAGGACTAATTTGACTCGCCGCCAGGTTATTCCGGCGTTGTTTATCTCGCGTAGCATTTTGGATTTCGACAGGAATTAACGTTAGCTTTTGCAGTATTGCGCGTGAAATGTACGCGATCTTTAATGGGCGGACAATTGTGCCGCATGGGAGCTGTATCTTCGTTTGGTATCGCTTGTAGTTGACTGGCGAGCGTAGCCACATTGTCAGGAAGCCTCCTTACGTTAGGAGACAGAGGGCTGAGGGGTATTTCAATAATCATTTTCCTGTTGTGTTCGAAAGGACGGCGGAGAAGGCCACGTGGGTACAGTTAGGAACTTTGAATCGCCTGAGGAGGTCGTAGTCGTCTGGGACAACGGCACAGCAGCCAATTATCGATGTTCAGGAGCCTTCGATCTGCGTATACTGGATTCTGCGCCGACGGGAGTGAAGCACGACGGCACGATGTGCGACACGTGTCGCCAGCAGCCTATCTTTGGGATAAGATGGAAGTGCGCCGAGTGCGGCAACTACGATCTTTGCTCCATTTGCTACCACGGAGATAAACATCACCTGCGACACAGATTCTTCCGCATCGCTACGCCAGGGAGTGAAAGGGTCTTGCTGGAACCTCGTAGGAAGAGCAAGAAGGTATAAACGATGACTCGACTTTCTTCATTGAAAATTACTTGGTGCGCTATGTCTCTGACTGCTATTGTCATTTAGATCGCAATTCGTGGTATATTCCCTGGCGCGAGAGTCGTACGAGGTGTGGATTGGCAGTGGGAAGATCAGGATGGTGGAAACGGCCGTCGGGGGAAAGTTAACGAGATACAAGACTGGTCCGCAGCTAGTCCACGTTCAGCGGCTTACGTCATTTGGGATAATGGCGCTAAAAATTTGTACAGAGTCGGCTTTGAAGGAATGGTTAGCATTATAACATTGATGGCTTCATGGTAAAAGCAGCTTTGCATCAATATGTAATATATATTTTTATGTCCAGGCTGATTTGAAAGTGGTCAATGATGCAAAGGGACAAACTGTGTATAGAGACCATTTGCCATTGTTGGGTGAGCAAGGTCCAGGTCGAACGGGACCTCACGGTCTGCAAATTGGTGATCAGGTGACTAGTTTATTCTCTACTCGCGATATCTGTTGAAAACTTGGGAAGAGATGTAACCATCTTTTTATATCTACAGGTTAATGTCGATTTGGAATTAGAAATTGTACAGTCACTACAGCATGGTCACGGAGGCTGGACGGATGGCATGTTCGAGTGCCTTGGCACTACCGGTACGGTCGTCGGCATCGATGAAGATCATGACATTGTTGTCTCTTATCCAAGTGGTAATCGATGGACCTTCAATCCTGCTGTTCTCACTAAAGTCCAGATACCCGTTCCTGTTACTAGTTCTGACAATCAGACATTTGCTGTCGGGGATTTGGTGCAGATTTGCCATGATATAGAAAAAATTAAATTACTCCAGCGTGGTCATGGCGAATGGGCCGAGGCAATGGCTCCGGTGGGTGTTTTTTTAATAAGAAAACTTATATAACGTATGTCTTAATTCTGAATTAATATTTACTGATATCTTTCAGACCTTGGGAAAAATAGGTAGAGTACAGCAAATATATCATGACGGAGACTTAAAAGTGGAAGTCTGTAGTACATCCTGGACGTATAATCCTCAAGCTGTCACGAAAGTTGCGAGCAGCGACGGAAGTGTTCCAGGGAACAGCAGTGGTGGTAAGTGTACATTCATAAACTGAACTAATTAGCTATTTCATAAATCATACACTTGGAATTTTGTATGCATTGTAATGTACGTATCGCTGTACTTTCTAGAGCGCTTGTCAGCGTTATTAAAGAAGTTATTCGAGACACACGTCTCCGGTGATGTCAATGAAGAGTTAGTAAAGACTGCAGCGAATGGCGACGCCTCTAAATGTGAAGAATGCTTGAAACGACCAGAGGCCGATGTTAACGGTGTATTCGCCGGCCACACCGCCTTGCAAGCTGCGAGTCAAAACGGTCATTTAGAAGTGATTAAAATACTTCTACGGTTCAGCGCGGATGTGGAAATGGAAGTAAGTATTTCCTACTAGTCGACCGAAGATATCAGATGTACACCGGACCGCATTTGCTTATATCGCGTTTTTTGAAAATAGGACAAAGATGGTGATAGAGCCGTACATCACGCTGCTTTTGGAGATGAGCCAGGTGTTATGGCGCTTCTCGCTGCTGCCGGCGCCGATCTGAACGCTCGAAATAAGAGACGCCAGACAGCTCTTCATATCGCCGTTAATAAAGGACACGCTGGCGTTGTGCGAACTTTGCTGGAATTAGGCTGCCATCCGAGTCTACAGGTAAGTGCATACAATTTATCCTTTTATATCTGCGCCGATATTCGCCAGCATTCGTTTTCAGAATGTATGTCTTATTGAACGGACATTTATTATGTATTATACGAAAACCACGACTGTATAAGACATATTTTAATACGCAAAATAGAAAATACTTTAATTAGCAAATTTCGCGAACGATAATCTTATTTCGCTTACGTAAGATTACGTAATGTTTAGACAGTTATGGTGTCTTATAGTATGTCTTATAGTAGTTACTTGCAGAAGAACCATAAATTATTTTAATATCATTGACGATACAATGATAATGACCAAGATAATGTTTCTATTTTTTTTATTTAAGAGTTTATTGTACTGTATGCAGTAGCAAGTATTATAAACAACGCATTAATATTTAATTAATAATTATGATCAGAGAAATTGCACAGTATCATCTCCGATACATACAGCTTAAGCAATATTTCTGTTTATACAGTCGCGAAGTAAATCAACGACTTAGAGAAAACCGCGGGTTTATTGTAGGAGATTGTACCGGAATGAAATCTCGTGAAATATAACCATAGGCGGAGGTTTCGGCGGCGGGCCGCAAGGGAGGATAAAGCAAAGAGGGTGGGGGTTGTTTATTTTATTCTTGAACTGTCTGAACATGATATATTTGTGGTATTCCGCCCTCCAATGATTTATGCCGGTCTGAAACTGCGTAAACGAACACTTCCTGCTACAACCCTTTTTCCTCTTTCAACATTTTGCTTCTCGCTTTCCTTCTCTTATTTCGCTTCCGACGATATGCGGCTCTTTTCTGAGCATGTAACCTAATAGTACGATGGTTACGTTTGTATAGCCAATGAAGTTCTTTTATTTCTAATGAAAAAAAATCGGAAGCCTTATATATATATATATCTTACAAGCCTTACAAAGAGATTCTCTTAAACTTTTCTTAAAATTTTCCTCGAGGGAGTTTACAATTATATTACTTGTAACTACTAAATTTATGAAATATATATATATATATTTGCAAGTTCATACATTATACAGTAAAGTAGTCATACACACATTGTGAAAATAAATATTCTTTCCGCTGTCTCGCGAAAGTATCTTTCATAAAATCGAATATGCAACGGTATACCGTGCAAACGCGGCTTACTTGGAACGAAGAAAATAAATTTGAGTCCGAGGCGCGAAGAAGACATAATAAGGGCGGAAACTAAAGAAAGGGAGAGAGAAAGGGAAAGAGGAAGAAAGGTGCTGGTGGGTGGTGTTGAAGGAGGTGGGAGATTCCAATCAGGATATATCGGCATATACATATAATATATTACCCTGCTTGCCTCGATATTTGAGAACAAAGGGCTGGCGGGTACAGCAGCACGTAGCTGTATTTTATTATTGATGGCATCGGAGATGGTTATAAATCTTCCTCGCGTTAAACGGTCAACCGTGTGGCTGTTTACTGATATTGCAAATGCACAAAGCACAAATCGACCCCACGTTCTCTCCATCCGCGGTCGTTCAGTTTAGTTTCCTCTTGTATTATATTCAGTTTCATTGTTTGGACACATTACACGAAGTAAAATGCGGTATATAGGGGCGTTTCGCTTCCATAATTTTGCGCCGTCCACTTCTCGTTTTTTGATACCGACGCGATATTTGCGCACGAGTGCCGGATATGCGAATGTGAATTAGTGTTAATTCACCTTTGTTACACGGGTATCTCCTCATTTGCAGGAGACTTAATTAATTCAGTTATCTGCCTCGAGGAAGCCTCGAATTCCACCTGCGTTACGAGTGTCGCGGGATTGTATTTGAGAATACGTGTTGCGCATAATCAAGACGCGCTGTGTATATTTGGATGCTCCAGCATTGGGGTATAACACTGCGGGTCCCTATTTCCCTTCGAAACAATTCGAAACCCGAAGACAACGAGAAACGTTTTCTGCGATAAACAACATTTACGTGCTCGGCGTTCATTGGCGATCGCTTTTTCTTTTTTAGATATCTTTTCCAAAATTATTGGTACAACTCTAAAGAGTCTCCTGGCTTCAAAGATTTTGCACTCGTCTTTTTAAATTTAGATGCATTTTTTTAAAAATACAAGTAGTTCTTCGATAGACAAATGTTTTTTTTATCAAAGAAATTTGTTGAAAGAGTTTGTTGGAAAAGTACATGTAAGTAATTGTATATTAAATGATCGCAAAAGCTTTTTCTCGTAGCGCTCGTCAACAGTTTAGAGAAGTAATTAAGAAAGTTAGGCAATAGCCCTCTCATTTTCATAATCACCGCACAAAATGGTATAAATTAACAGTAAATGTAAATCAACGATGTTTTTACGCGGTGCCAGGGTGTATTGCGACCGTCGTGAAATACCGTTCGTATATTTCATCAAGCCAGGGGCATAAGACTCGCGAAAATATGCTTGCATTAGCGCTCGCAGAATTACGGTTCATGTCTGTTTCTTCTCGGCTACGCTCTTATTCCACATTTACAGCCGACATTTGCATAATTGCTCTTTTTAAAAGCGATAAGAAATTTCTTGATGAAAAATTATTTTGCAGTGTTGTATCGCCGAAACTCCAAGCTTTTAATACCTTTAAAGAGTTTTATTACCCGGCAAATTTTTTGAGGCCCGTAAAAGCGACGAACATCGCGAAGCTACAATTGCATCGTTAATTTCATTCGACGTTTACGCGTTATTTTTGTTAAGAGCCGGCGATCCCGTTGCGATCTTACTTCATCCTCTCGCGCAGAAGTTTTCGAAAGAATACCCCCCCTCCCCCTTTTTTCCGCGTTGCATCGGCGAACGTACTTTTCGCGGAGAAATAAAATTTCAACGATCACGTACGTATGTGCCAGACAAGAAAGGCAGACTTTCGCGTTCGGCACGTGCGCGAAATTCCGACAAGTCGATCCGACAATACCGGCGTCGGCGGCGGGAGGGAATGGAGGGACGAGGAGAATTTTTGCGATCGCGCTATCACCCTGTCTGCTTCGTTGAAGGATCGGACTAATCGAAATACCGGACGTCTTCGGGGCTGTTACGTGTGTGGGTGCTCCCTGCGGGTGTAGCAACCCCTCGTTGCCGCCGTTAAAATCGGGCTAGTCATCCTTATGGCTCCCGCTGTTCATTTCGGGATATCCGAGGAAAAATATCGAGAGACGACGGTCCGGCTCTGAAGCTTTTATCCGCGATATCGACTGTCTCCTCTCTCACAGCTGCGCGATCGAAAGAAAGATAATCTGAAAATTATCGCGAGGATCTGAGCGAAAGGGGTCATCTATCTGCGAGCTTCACTTTCGACAATACAGTGGAATAGATTTTTGGTAACGTTCGTGTCGTAACAAGACAACCGACCGTGTTCGTTAGAACAATTGTCGACGGCGCATGTATTGCGTGCATTTCGGCCAATGAGGATTAATCGCTTTGGAGAAACTACGTCCCCTCATAATTCTGTGCAGCTCAATATATCCGACATGACGTTTCAGCCGAGACCATTCTGTTTTACGAGCGCGGCCAGGACATACGCCGTACACGCTGTAATTGAGTTCAATTGTGCTCGCTATACGGCCGGTACCGTCGAATAAATGCCCGAAACAAATCGTAGACAATCCGTGCTATTGTGAATTCGATTGAATATTATCAATAATAACGGCCGCTTCGATTTGCCACGGAAATTCCTATTTGCTTTTGCACTCGCGCATCGCACGATATCCTATCGAGTCGCGGATAATTGCACGATTTAATGGGCTGAATCTTCGATGCCTTCGTTAATCGTTTCCTTCGGCAGTCGTGTTCGCGATCGGAAAATCCTCGAGGAATAACGAGGCGCGGGGGCTCGAGATATGCAAGTGATACAATTCGATAGTTCTTTACTCCATCGTGCGAATAATGCATTCAATCGAGCCGACAGTCCTCGCGCCGAGACGCGACCGTCTTGCACGTGGAAAAAAAGTGATTCCTTTCGGAATAGGAGACGCTCCACGGGTTCAAGTCGGGGAAGGAGGTGCCTATAGCTCTGTGACCCCTATTACAAATCCAATATCCACTTAGTATATGCCTCCCTCTTTCGCTCCCTGTCTTTCTTTCTCTTCTCGATCCATCTCGATGTTACCGCCTATAGCCGCGTCCTGGCTACGACGTTGCTATAAAACATATTCGCTGACGGAGACAATATTCCCCTCGGTGCTGCAGACTCGACAGAAGAAACGCTCTCGGGCCATATTCACGCAGAAAACGCCTGCTCTGTTCGATGCGAGAGCGATCGACATTCGATCGTCGACGCGAACGTAATTCGTCAATTGGAATTCCTGTGTACACATGTTATTATTTAACATTGTATATTACGCACCGACGAGGTTACTATTTTATTTTGCAAATTTTCCGCACTTGGATTATAGTGGCCGCACAGAAACGTATTACGTTCGTACAGCTCGCTTTTTATCTTCTTTTCCATTCATTGTCTCGCTGATCTTTCTATTATATTATCATCATGGCACGCTGTTCCAGTCTCGTTTCATTCTAATATTTTTTACAGTAATATTGTCCCTTTCATCTCTTAATAAACGATTCTTTGTCTACGTGACGTTAACAGAACCGTTTTCAGAATTTTGATTAATCCGTAGAATTATGGGGAGAATTTTCTCTTAAAAATTACCCTGAAAATCACGTAATCGTGGGACAACGCGGCATTTTGAACAACTTTATGAGAGTTTTTTTGCAAATTTTACCATACATTTGACTAGTAATTATACTTAGTGCACATTTTACTGGTAAAATGTATGATAAAATTTCATAAAACTCATAAAATTCTCCGAGACGCCATGTCGTTTCACGATTAAATGATTTTTAGGATAAATTTTAAGAGAAAATTCTCTGCGCGTGCAGTAAACTTCTCGAAAATCGTTAAATTCAGAAGGATTGTAAAACATGCAGGAGCATTAATTTTACAAGATTTGCCCTTGATTTTTTTAGCACCTTGTACTTTTTGTGCGTATAATTGAAGGCAAATAAT